TCCAAAAGCCTATATAATAACATTCTGTTAACAAAGTAAACTTTATCTTGATCTACTGTAGAAGGGGCACGTCATCCCCATCTCTAAACCACTGTTCGTCTGGAACTGGTAATAGAATTTCATAGCGCAGTTCCGGAATGGTCTGCACGGGTGCATGGACCTGAACTTCCACAATGTTCCTTACTGGGGCCTGTTCTAGCTGTTCCGGAATGTTCCGTTCCAGGGCTTGTGCCTGCTGCTGAGGGTCGGGGTCCCGGGGTAGAGGCTCTCCCAGAGCGTCTCGCAGCCGCCTCCAGAACAGCGGTCTTTTCCGCACGTCGTGAGGCCAAGTCAGGTACGTGTCCCTCTTTACTACGGCGTTCAGATGGCGGAACTGTTTCAGCATTCGGTCAGGAATCCCCTCCAGAAACACCAGGATGAGACGCACCCCTCCCCCCTCCTCAAACATGTGGTACTGGGCCAGCTGGAACTCGTACTCGCACCACTTACTCTTCAGGAAGTTCCTGGTGATGAGGCAGACGGTTCTCCGGCTGTTTTCCACGGCATCCGCGATGTTTTCCACAATGGGAGCGCCGACTGCAAAGTCCCTTTCGTGTAAGACCAGACTGTAGTCAGGTTCCAGATTTTCTATCGCTTGATGTATAACCCACCCGACGTCCCGGGGCTTAAGTGTAGTTTACGGCCGCAAACGTGTTTTTTTCATCCCGACAAAATTACTGTACGTTGACGATATAACACAGCTGCCGATGTCGTCTTATTGCTCTCGGCCGTCTTATAACTGCGTCGGTGCTTTAGACTGCGTCGGACTTAAAATGCGTCGGGGCTTACAAATGCGTCGGGCTTACAAACGCGTCGGAGCTTATAAACGCGTCGGAGCTTACAAACGCGTCGGAGCTTAGAAACGCGTCGGAGCTTACAAACGCGTCGGAGCTTACAAATCACGTCGGGCCTTGCAAATCACGTCGGAGACTGCGACGAGGATTAAGTCCTTATCTAAACCTGCGACGAGGATTAAGATCTTATCTAAACCTGCGACGAGGATTAACTTGACCGGGACCTTTTCACACCTAGTTAACACCTACCCGAGATGTGTATTCAATACACACCTCTTATCAATTTGATACTATTGATCGCGTGTTAGTATGTGCAAGTGCTCGTGTGTGTGTGTAACATC